CTCTCTCTCTCTCTCTCTAGTACTACCTAGCTATGGCGCCCAGCGCTGGAGACTACATCTACCTACTGCGCCCAGCGCTGAAGACTACTAGCTAACGCTACAACTACTACAACGCAGCGCTCCCTCCAGAGTGCTGCACCCGAATCCTGAAGACTACAACTGACCGACTGCCTACCTCGGAAGTGCCTGGGAAGTCCTATGTACTACCTCGGCCTGCCTCCTGACTACTGGAGGCCAGTCAGGCCGAGGAGGCAGCTCTTGCCAATGCCGAAGTGTGCCAGGGGCTGGCGTGCAGCAGCCTGCTTGAGGCTGGCGTGGGAAACAGACTAATAATAGTCTGTTTTTCCAAAACCCTGGTTCGGTGCCTGAGTTTCAGGGCCGGTCGTTCTGATGAACGACCGAAAATGGCCCTTCGTTTCAGGCTAAAAAGGCTGTTGCCATTTTTAGTCTGAAACGACCAGGGATAGGCCCTGAACTTCAGGCTTTTGGCCTGAACCGACAGGGGGCCTGTAAGCCCTGGATTTCAGGCTTTCGGCCTGAAATTCAGGCTTTCGGCCTGAAGTTCAGGCTTTTGGCCTGAACACCGTCGGGCCTGCAAAATGGCCCGTGTGTGCACGCACTGCATGTAACACCCCCCCTTCCTTATGAAGTCAAGCCGGGGCGAGGGCGAAGCCGTCGATCTGAAGGTGGAACCTGGACGCGGGCGCGGCGTGGAGCCGAAGAAACCGGCTTGCCTTGCATCTTGCGTTCGTAGCGTGCGAGAACGTATGGAGTTGTCACTTGCAGTTCCGCACGGGTTAACCAACGGTGAGCTCGATGTGTGCAGTAGGCAAAACGCACCAAATACTCAGTTGGCTTGTTGCCGTAGCGTCGCTGGGAGATGATGTCGCCGACCTCTTGAAAACCATCCATAGAAGGTGGGTCTTGCGTACGTCTCCCGGGAAAGTCGTCACGATCCGCTGGCGTGTAGAGAGCAAGTTTGGAGCAATGAAAGACTGGGTAGACAGGCAAGTGGCTAGGCACCTGAATCGTGAAGGAGGGTCCTTCGGGTGCATCCCCAGGGGGCTCTATGATCGGCCAAGGCCCCATCCATTTCGGGAGGAGCTTGCGAGAGACGTCTTGTTCAAGGCTGAATTCCGTTGCTGAAACCCAGATGAGGTCCCCGACGCGGAATGGACAAGGAAGACGCTGGCGATTTGCCTGTTGGCTCACGTGCTGCTGCGTCTTAGCCATCTGGTCGCGTGCCTTGACAAGAAGCTCTTGCATCCGACGCAAGAAAAGAAGATGGTCGTCGCTCTCGGCCGTGCGTGGAGTAATTGTGTCCAACGGTGACGTGACCGGCGAGCCGTGCTCGAACTCGAAGGGCGATATCCCAATAGCCGGGTGGATGGAAGAGTTGTAGGCCAACTCAACGTCCGGCAGTCGCTCAACCCAGTCTTTCTGGTCGGGGCGGATGAGAGTGCGAAGGAGAACCTGTGCGGTCTGATGCGCCCTCTCCGTCTGGCCATTGGTCTAAGGGTGGCGAGCTGAACTGGGCTTGAGAGATGAGCCGCATCGCTTGATGAGCGCCAACCAAAAATCGGACATGAACCGAGTATCGCGGTCGCAGACGATCTCCTTGGGGTAACCCTTGGTGCGAATCCAACCGGCGTACAGGACCTCGGCCAACTCCGGTGCCTTGGCATGATAGCGACAAGGCGGAAACATGGCGAACTTGGTGAGTCGGTCGACCACCGTGAGAATCCCATACACTCCGGTCTTGTGCTTGGGGAACGGGCCGGTAATGTCCATGGCAATCGCTTCCCTTCGCCGCAACGGGACTGGCAATGGTCGTAACTCGCCGTACGGACGATGGTTGCGGGATTTGCAGCGTCGGCAAACCTCGAATGACTCGCAATAGCGCGTGACGTCGCCGAGAAGGCCGGGCCACCAAAATCGCTGGCGAAGTCGGCCAATCGTGCGATTGACTACAAAATGTCCAGTGGCGGGAGCGTCGTGGAACTCGCCAAGAAGCCGTGTACGCAAGTGAGGATCACTCGATACGCAAAGAAGGTCCTTCCCCCGCGTGTGGACAAGCAAGTACCCCTCTTGGATCCGGTAGTGAGAAGGAGCCGGATTAGGAGAGGAGCAATTCACATACTTGTCGCGAAAATCGGAGTCGGCTTCGTAGCCGCGGATGAAGCTGTTCTGCTGGTCGTCGTCGATCTCGAAGGTTAAGTAGATCGCGGTACAGTGATCCGGACGCCGTGAAAGAGCATCCGCAAAACGGTTCGACTTCCCGAGAATGTGATCGGGAAAGAAGTCGAACTGGTCGATGAAAGCCATCCATCGAGCGATGGTGCTGTTGACGGTGTCTTGGGTCTTGTAGAAGACCAACGGATTGTTGTCCGTTACCCAACGAAATTGGCTTCGACCAAGGAGGAAGTGCCGCCACCACTTGAGCACGTGGACGAAGGCGAGGAGCTCCTTCTTGCGTACATCGTCAATGGAATGCACGAGGGGCACTTTCTTGCTGAAGTACTCGACCGGGTGCCAGTCCACACCATCATGTTGCTCGAGGACTGCACCAATGCCATAGCCTGACGCATCCGTAGTGACACGCGTAGGCGCGAGCGGGTCGTAGATTCGCAAGACCTCCGCAGACAATAGTGCGGCTTTAAGAGCGAAGAATGATCCTCACGCCTCCTCTCCGAAGTCAAACGGTCGATCCTCGCACTGAGGCTTGTTCAAGTGGGCCGCGATCTTGGAGTAGCCTTTGATGAAGCGCTGATAGTAGCCGGTAAGACCGAGGAACGAGCGGACATCCGTGACATTCCGAGGCTCCGACCACTCTTGGACGGCCTGAATCTTGTCCGAGAGCGGACTGATGCCCTCCGGTGTGACAAAATGGCCCAAGTATTCCATCTCTTGCTGGACAAATTCGCACTTGTCGCGGTTGGCCTTGTACTTGGCACGGCGGAGCGTCTCCAACACTCGTCGAAGATGTCCAAGAGGATCCTCCAATGTCCGGCTATAGATGAGAATATCGTCCAAGTAGACCAGCACGAAGCGGTCCAACATTGCACGGAACTCATTGGTCATCGCCGCCTGGAATGTCGTCGTGGCATTGGTGAGGCCAAAAGGCATGACCACCCACTCAAAATGCCCGTATCGCGTCTTGAACGCGGTCTTGTAGCGATTGTTCGGCTGGATCGAGACTTGATAATATCCCGATTTCAAATCCAACTTGGAAAAATACTTCGCGCCGCCCAGACGCTTGAGAAGATCGTCGATGCGAGGAAGAGGCCCCGCATTCTTGACGATTTGTGCGTTGAGCTTGCGGTAGTCGGTACACAATCGTAGATCCTTGTTCTTCTTCCTCACGAAGACAACTGGTGCTCCATATGGGGAGCTACTCGGGCGGATCCAACCCTTGGCCAAAAAATCGTCGAGTTGTGCGCGGAGTACCTCAAGCTCCTCCTCGCTCATCCGATAGATGCAACCTTTCGGCGGCACGGCACCGGCCTCAAGAATGATCTCGTGAGAGATCGGCCGACCCGGCACCACACCGGTAGGTGACTCAAAGATGTCGGCGAACTCGTCCAGCAACCGTACCACACGGGGGTCCGAAGACAAGTCCGTGGGTGAAGAGTCGGCTACCGCGGCGGTCCGTAGGAAACATAGGCCGATCTCCTCGGGCTGCTCGTACGTGCAAGTCGCCCGGAATGATTTGGCCGTCACTACTTGGCACCGGATTGAAGAGTGCGGTAGAGGAATCGTACACGCCACTTCCGCGCCGAAGGCGTCGCGAACGATAAGAGTCCGCCGATGGAAGTTTACCGTGTGATCCGCACTTGCGAGCCAAGGCATTCCCAGAATGATGTCGAAGTCCGTGTCGAGAATATCGAATGTCACCGGTTCGCATGCATGAGGTGCGAAGTAGACCGGTACAGCCTCGATGTAACGGTCGAGAAGTTGTTGCGTCTTACCATCCGCCAACTTGATCGCCGTCGGGTTTGCCTTCCTCCGAACTTGTGCGCCAAGGCCAGCTCTTTGCATAAAAGACTGGCTCATGAAGTTGCGAGACGCGCCGCTATCCAGCAAAGCGCTGCAGGATGCTTGCCCAACGTGGATGCGGACATACATGAGCGGTGCGTTGTTGTCATCGTACCGCTGCGTGCGAAACTCGCGGGCCACCTTGGTAATATATGCCAGGATGTCCGCCACCGCGACTTCGTCATCCGTCGGCAAAGTTGGTGGTGCATAGAAGGATAAGTAAGTGTGAAGCTTAGCGCTAAGTGCTGCGCATTGCGGTCCCGGCAAACAGCCTGTGGTCGGGAGAGGATGCCATGCAAAGTCCCCAGACGTGAGCGGGTCCAATGCCTCAACATTGAACTCGCGCGCCGAATCCCGTGATGAACCACTTGAAGACAATTTGTCGCTGTTGCCAGACGGAGAAGAAACCGCACACACTCCTTGTCCTTGAGCTTGAGTACCCAGCGTTGGAACGAGCCGGGCAGCATAGTCCTCAAAAGAAAATAGAAGCGGAGGACTGTCGACTTCCGCGTGCGCCTCGGAATGAAGGTTGGTTACTCGCGAAGAAACCAGTTGCGAAGGCGTCGAGAGTGTCGTCGCATCACTCTCGGCGGTGCTCAGTTTCCCTGTCTGCCCTTGCCTTTCAATGGGCAAACCTGCGTCTGATGAAGATCGTTGTTGCACCAAAGGCAATAGTGGAATCTCTCGCGCGCCTTGTATGCGGACTCGGAGATGCCATACGGGGTCCATGGGCCTGTCTGAGCTGCTGCACCGGGCCCAGGGCTAGAAACGGTGTGTGTCTTCGGCTTGCCGCGCCCTCGGCCTCTGACGGCGCGGCCACCTTCCCGGGCGGCTGCGAATCTGTCTCCTTCACTGGCAGACGCAGCCTCGATGGTTTGGTCTAACGGCGCTGCCGCTGCGACCACGACCACTCTTGGCCGATGCTGGTCCCTGCTCGGGCCTGACGCAGATGAACGGAGGTTCTTGGCCTTCTTGTTCGTGACGATGATTTGCGCAGCCTTGTCAAATAATTCCGCCGTCGTCGTCAAGGTGTCCTCAACGTGCGTCAAGGCATTGCTCAATGCCCGACATGATCTTGAGATGAAGTAGTGGCGGATGGCCTTGAAGCCCATCTGGATGTCTGGGACTCACGTCAAACGTTGGTACTCGGCGATCCAGTCCGTACTCGGCAGCGTGCCTTGTTCGAAGACCATGAGCTTGTCCATGGCTTTGATCTCTGGCGGCTCCACCTGGAACCGCTTGTGCCACACTGCCTTCAGATCATCCCAGGTGATCTTGGTGTGCAAGTCATTAGCTACCACTCCGTACTTGGACAACAGGTTGTCCAACCAAGCCTGACACGCGCCCCCTGAGCGAGAGTACAAGTAGGCGTGATGCTTGTGTTCCTTGACGTTGTGGAGCTGCAGTGCGAGCTCAAACTTGCGAAACAATGGAATTGGATCTGTCTTGATTGAGTCGTGGAAGATCTCCTGCCCATCGAACTTAGGAGCTGTCTCGCGCGGCTCCGGACTCGAGGTGGTGGCAGTAGTGCAGACCCGCTGCTGCAACTGTTGCGTCGCGGTCTGTTGTAACTGTGCGCCATCCTGGAGGGAGCCGACGTGCATCTCCAATGCGGTGAGGCGGTCGGCAGTATTGGAA